AATCCTACAGCCAGTCCTGTTTGAGTCCTTGTGCTACATTCTCAGAAGACAGGGAGGGATCCCGTTTCTCTTTTCCCAGTCTCGCTTCTCCTCTTTTCCCCGAATGCAGAGCAACCTAACTTACTTAAACAGAAATGAGAGAGAGAGAGAGAGAGAGAGAGAGAGAAATAGTAAAATAAATATTTGAGAAGTTTTTGACATTGAACTTCCTGCAACCTGGACATGATCAATCCACCGTTGCTATTTTACAGTGGTATGAGTTTGCAAGGTACAAGCAAAAACACTTCTGTGCTGTCTGCTCGAGACAGCCTTGTCTCTATCTGCCAATCTGTCTGCTACCCAACAGCTGCTTATATGGAATCTGTCCTTCCTTTCCTGTTCATACCTACTCAGGATGGGCTGAGCTAAGATGAGCATATGTTTTCAGGCCATCCCCATTCCAGATCCTCTTCATTGATTAGCCTCTCAGGGTATTTGATATGGCTCAAAAGTATACTTGACGTGATTGTTCAAGAAACTGGATATGGGATTAGTGCTGTAGAGCTCATAGTCTGTACAGTTGGGCTCTCTCAGTGTAATCTTAGGCTCTTGTTTTAACCAGCAGAGCTTATCTAAACCGTCAAATGGAAAGCCAACAAAAACAGACATCCAAACATTGAGAACAAAATAAAGTCCTGTTGCTCAGGAGACTAATGTTTCAGGATGAATTTAGTTCCAATCAATTAACATATATTTAGGACTCTATATGATGAGAAGCTGTGGTTGTTTGAATGTGATTGACCCCCATAAACTCATGGGGAGTGGCACTATTAGGAGGTACGGCTTTGTTGGAGCAGGTATGGACTTGGAGGAAATGTGCCACCGCAGAGGCAGGCTTTAAGGTTTCAGATATACTCAAGCCATGACCAGTGTCTCAGTTTACTTACTGTTGTCTTCTAATCAAGATGTAGGACTCTCAGCTCCTTCTCTAGCACCATGTCTGCCTCCACACCGCCATGTCCCACTATGATGATAATGGACTAACCTGTGAAATTGTAAGCCACCACATTAAATGTTTTCCTTCGTCATGTTGTCCTGGTCATGGTGTCTCTTCACAGCAGTAGAAACTCTAACTATGATAGCAACACATGGGATGCTTCCTACGTGTTCATTTATTTTACTCTCGAAGCAATGCTACTCATAAGCTACTACTCTTTTCCATCATTGACAGAAGAAATTAAACACAGAGAAAGCAGCTTGCTTGAAGTCACATAGCCATTAGATATTACAGTGAAGGTTTGAATCTGTGCATTTAACCACCGAAGCTTCTTCTAGTCCATGAGGCATTACAGCAGTGGTTCTCAACCTTCCTGATACTGCTAACCCTTTAACACAGTTCCTCATGTGGTGACCCCAACCATGAAATTATTTTGTTGCTACTTCATAACTGTAATTTTGCTACCATTATGAATCGCAGTGTAAATATCTTATATGCAAGATATCTGATATGTGACCTCTGTTTGAAAGGGTTGTTAGAAACCCCAAAGGGGTTTCGACCCACAGGTTAAGAATCACTGCACTAGACCAGGGGTTGGTGCCAGGAACCTGGAAGCTGTCCGGATGCAGGGCTCTGGTCTCTTGGGTGTATTTCCTGTTGATGTTTGCTTTCATATTCATTTATCTTCAGATTGATGTTTTCAGCTTCTTGTTGAATGTCGATGAATATGGCCATTTCCTGGTGACTACCCCAGCTCTTACGTGAGCATCAAGATTATCAAACCATAAATTAGGAATCTGGATTTCATTTTAATTTATTAATGCACGAAGACCCCCATAGGCCCAGGCTGTTTGGAATGTCTACTCCTTGACAGCATGTCAGAGGGAAGTGATCTCTATAATATACATGAGTCTGGGGACTCATGGTGTAGGTGTGATTGTTTCTACATTTATCCTGTATCATAAGATGTGATGTAGGCAAGGCATATGAAAATATGTACCACATCTCCCTCTCTGGGGCAGTGGGAAAACACGACACTAAGGCTTAACGGGTTAGGGGAAGTAATACGTTATGAACTGTTTCATGCCCTCGAAAAATTCATTTCCTGAAACTGCCATCGTGACTGAAGTTGGAGACAGGTTTGTTAGAGAGGAACATGGTCCTCAATTTAATGTAACTGACTTTTTTTTTTTACAGGTAGAGAGACAACAATTCTGTGTACACAAAAGGACAATGCCATTTTAAGACACACAGAAGATAGAGAACTCCAATTGACTGATGTTTCTTTCTTTCTTTTTCTTTTTTTTTTTTTTTTTTGGTTTTTCGAGACAGGGTTTCTCTGTGTAGCTTTGCACTTTTCCTGAATCTTGCTCTGTAGACCAGGCTGGCCTCAAACTCACAGAGATCCACCTGGCTCTGCCTCCTGAGTGCTGGGATTAAAGGCGTGCGGCCGACTGATGTTTCAATGTGGGACTCTCAACCTTCAAATATCTGACACGTTTTTCCTCTTTCTCACTCTTTCCCTTCAATTTCCATTGTTTAAGCCACCTAGTCTACCATATTTTGTTACAGCAGCCTTAGCAAACTAACTCACCATGTGTGCTCCTGTTTAATGACTTATAAAGGAGGAAACTTCAGATAATCCTTATGGAGTTGCCCAACTCTAGACTCATGTGACTCCGTTTGAATGTAGTGGTGGTGTGTGAAGGGTAGCGACCACGCACCAGCTATATCATTAAAAGGAATTTAATATCCTTTGGAAGCTGCAAGACCGTTTTCTGAGTAAAAATATATCTCGTTAAGAAGTGAGAAACATTCTAAGATCTGACTTCACTACATTCCATCCCCCACCATGTCCCACTTGTCAACTGAGGCGTATGACAATAGCTTTTAATTTAATCATACATATACATTTTTTTTTCTTTTTTTAGACAGGGTTTCTGTAACAGCTCTCGTTATCTTGGAACTCTCTTTTCAGGCTGGCCTGGAAGTCACAGAGCTCCTCCTGCCTCTGCCTCCAGGTGCTGGGATTAAAGGCGTTGGCCACCACGCCTAGCTCCCAATTTTTAATCATAATTAACTAAAATCTGATTTCTTTTTCTGTGGTCTCAGCTGTGTCTTCAGAACTTTTTTTTCTTCGCTTGACCAATGTCGCTTTAAAATGGAGTCAGTAGAATTGAACGCAATCTTATAAATACAGCTGGACAAAAATGTTATCAACCATCAGCTTTTACTAATCGAGTTCAAAGTTACTCTAGCATTTTGGTAGTACATTTTTTTTGGCAGTTGATCAGATATATTTCTGAAGGAAGGTTCTCTTTTATGTTTCTACTTAGATACTGATGTAGTGTCTATGTCCCCACCCCCCAGCATTGTAATGAATTGTCATCTCCTTCCATTGGCTCTGAGCAGCTTAAACAAAAGGATTGTTCTTTTTAATCTCTTCATTATCCTTGTGTCTTGTGTGTAATAGAATGACAGGATCCTAAGGTGATTCAATATGCACATTTGCTAAGCTGAATCAAATTATTTTGTGAAATTTAGCCATTAAGAAACAGAGCCATTATGCCTCTGCAGGCATTGTTTGAATGACTGTTCTGAGTTATGTTTCTTTTTGTGTCAGGGGGAGTGTATTCTAGAGGCACAACTGTTGATGCAAATACTTAGTAAGTCTTTCGAAGAATGTGTGTTTAAACTGAAGGAAAAACCTTTTTTGTGAGCAGGGTGGGAATTTGTGGGGAGGAGATACATTAAAAGTCAGGTCCCCTTGTTTCAAGGCCCAAAGGAGAGAGAGGATTAAGTGGGAAATGAATAATTCCTGCACAGTGGTCAAAATAGACAGTCTGTATCATAAGACAATCTAGTAGACAGTTCTCAACTTGTGGGTCGTGACTATCAGAAAAATACACATTTTTGATGGTCTTAGGAACCCCAACCATAAATTTATTTTCTTTGGTACTTCATAACTATAATTTTGCTACTGAGCAGTGTCTGGGTTGTTAAGACCATCAGAAGAAATATGTTTTCCTCCAGGCGGAGGCGGTCGTGGCCCATGTCTTTAATTTCTGACTCAGGAGGCAGAGACAGGATGATCTCTGTGAGTTCAAGGCCAGCCTACTCTGCAGAGTGAGTTCCAGGATAGTTAGGACTGTTTCACAGAGAAACCCTGTCACGAAAAGCAAAAATAACAACAACAAAAGAAATATGATTTCTGATTGTTGTGACCCACAGGTTGAGAACCACTGATAGTTGGGTTTATTTTTATTTTATTTTTTTAGGTTTCAGGAAGACGTCCATAGATCAAGTAAATTTTGATTATAGTTTTGGGGAGGGTCAGGTCAGTGTCCTTTATTGGCAGAGTAGAAGGAAAAGATGACGGATATCCCTAATGGATTTTCACTTCTTAGGTTTTGCAAAGCTCCTTCCTTCATCAAGGTTTTAATTCTCTCCTCGTGGCTGAAACTGACTTTTTTTTTCCTGAGCAGAAAATACTTCTTTCGTGTCCTAGTGAGGACGGAACACAGTAGTAATGAACAGACAGCCCCATACTGCATTTGTATATTGCCATTGGAAGAGCTGTAAGATCTTAGCCCAGCCACTCCAGGCAGAAAGTGTTTCACTTGATCAACTTCTTCATTCCCCTCCAGTCCTAAGCCTTTAAAACAAGACATTAAAGCGATTTTTTTACATCTCACCGCTGGATATTATTTATCCTTTGATGTTTCCTCATGAGTAAAATTTCACTCACTGCCAAGGTAGTATTTGAACTCTTTCTGCCAGGCGTTTGCGTATTCACAGGCACCTGGCCCTTTAAAAAAACAAAATTAGAGCCGGGCTAGAAGGCAGGGCCCTAGGTTGGTCAAGACCGCTTATCCAGCTTCTTCCGGGAAAGGAACCCAGAGGCCAGGCGCAGAGCATGCTGGGACTTGCAGTTTAGCTACTGTCATTGTGGCTGGATCTCTCTGCGCTGGAGCGTGGGATGGACTACAGCTCCCAGAGGGCCAAGCGGCGGTGGCGCGTCCAGTGCCCCTAGCCGCGCCTGGGCGGCTAGTTCAAGTTGCCATAGCTGCGAGTCAGGGGTGAGCAGAGTCGGTTGCGCCGCAGCGTTGAGTCGGTTGCACCTTCGGGGTCGCTGGTAGCCGCGGGAGCCGGGTGGGGCCTCGGCGATGATCCGGCATTAAGAACCTGGAGTCACCTTGGGTCTAAGGTACCTGTGCCAGCTGCTCCCTTGTCCTTTTTTTCACTTCCCCCTGCAGAGACATTTATGTCCCACTTCCCCTTGTCCCAGGGTGGAGACACCAGAGCAGCCAGGGGTAAGTGGGATGGGGTCGGGTGTGTGGGTGCAGCGTTGGCAAGTTGGGGGCGATGGCGTATTTGCACCCCTCAACAGGTGGTCCATGGTCAGGTCCTGGCCAATCTCACTCTGAACGTGCGTGCGTTGTCCTGGCTTTTGAGTAGCTTGCCATGAGCTAGCCTTCTAGACGCCTTAGCTACCTGACGTTTAGTTGACTGCCCCAGGGTGTAAGTTGGTGCTTCTCTGTCCTCTGGTCACTTGATTTTCCTATGCTAATTTAGGAGATGCCCGGTCCTAGCGGTTAGCAGCCCCCTTTTGGGATTAATTCGTGGAAATGCCGAAGTGAATCCCAGCTGCATCCTGTATTGCTTTAATGGACCGAGTCTGTTAGGCAAGGGTTCGGTAAAGCTAAATGTTGTAGCGTCCTGTCAGGATTATGCAAAACATTTGGCGCATTGCCTAGCACGAAGCAAATTCTCAGCACTTCTTTCTAAAACTGATTGTGTCTAACAGAAAGAAATACCATGCGAACTATACAGGTGGTTTTTATTTTATAGTACCTGTATTAAAAGTATGAAAAAACTGCTGAGATTAATCTTTTTGTTTGTCATAGTACATAAAATATTTATATTTGGCATATAGTAAATATCAAACTTATACGTACACACACACACACACACACACACACACACACACACACACACTTTAGACAGGGTCGCAGTGTGGCCCTGGTTGGTCTGGAACCCTTTATGTGGATGGACCAGACAGGTCTCCAAGTCACAGAGATGCACACCTCTGCCTGCACAGTGCTGAGATCAAAGGTGTGTGGTACCACCAGAGCTGTATTTTATGTTTTTTTTCTTTTTTTTTAATGGTACTGGATGTTCAGTATCTAGCACGTATTACCATTTTATATTTATAGTGTGTATCAGTTTGAACTGGCCAGACTTCTAGAGTTATAGCCATATGACTGCTGTTCTGGACAGCACAACAGGAAGGTGAACTTTGACAGCTGTACATTGGCATAGAGCAGTAGTTCTCAACCTGTGGGTCGCAACCCCACAGGATCAAGTGGCCCTTTCACAGGGGCTGCCTGAGACCATTGGAAAACACAAATTTTACATTATGATTCATAATAGTAGCAAAATTACAGTTATGAAGTAGCAATGAAAATAATTTCATGGTTGGGGGTCACCACATCAGGAGGAACTGTATCAAAGGGTCGCAGCATTTGTAAGGTTGAGAACCACTGGCATAGAGAAATTTCGTTGTGCTTAGGACTCACCATGTGATAGGGCTTGCTACTTTGTTAGAGAAGTGTGTATTAAACTATTGCTTAGCTGGCCACCCTGAACATCTCTCAGGTTCTCAGCAATTTACTTTTCCCAGAATACACTTCTCGAAATGGCTTATTGATATACACGCACAGTGGTTTTCTTAGATGATTTTTTTTTTCCTGTAGAGTTTTACAATTTTAAAAGTAGTTATGGAGTGTAGAAAACATTTCCACCCACTGCACTTTTCTTCAGCCAAAAATATAATGCTTTGGTTTATTTGTTTTACCACTCACTGTGAGAACTGATCCACCATATGTAATATGTCTTCAAAGAGGTGGAGGGTGGCCTAGACTTACAAATGAGCCAGCACATTCAGAAAACCATGTTAATTTTATTACCCAGTCTAGTCTCCCAGTTGATATACTTAGGACTTTTGGCTAGACTTGAGGTATAGTTCATCCCCTAGTGTGATCTAGCAAGTCCAATGATGATGACTAGGCATGGGTAGAAAATGCCACTTAAAAGGAATCTGCAAGCCGGGCGGTGGTGGCGCACGCCTTTAATCCCAGCACTCGGGAGGCAGAGGCAGGCGAATCTCTGTGAGTTCGAGGCCAGCCTGGACTACCAAGTGAGTTCTAGGAAAGGCGCAAAGCTACACAGAGAAACCCTGTCTCGAAAAAAAAAGAAAAAAAAAAAAAAAAAAAAAAAAAAAGGAATCTGCAGGCTGGGCATTTGGATATCATTTGGGCTTTTGGGTGACCATAGGAGTGTACTGTCTGTGTTCCGTGGTATTCTCTAATCTGTGCATAGGGAAGATGAGATAATTTTCATTAAAAAAAATGTCAAGTTCTCGTTCTGTTTACTGCCTGTTTCATTGGTTTGTAGGTGTTTTGGGGGAAGTGTAGAGGCAACCCAAAAGAGCATCTACTTGACTAGACCTTTTGCCCGGAATCTCATGAAGAAATGATAGGAGGCAGGCATCCGTGCCTAAGAAGAGCACTGAGCTCAAAGGACAGCAACACAGAGTTCTGGGAGTGTACTTTGTACGTATGCTTGCTCTTTGAGTTTAGCGTCCGAGGAAATCTTTTACATTGTTTTATATTCAAAGTGGGAAAGGGTATGCCAACAGCAAGGATTTGGGAATGGCGGTTGGGGTTGGGTGGGGAGGCAAGGAGCACCCGTTTGATATTAGTATAAAATTAAAACTGAGTGGCTGTGCATGACACATTAAAAAATTTCAAATGAACAGATAAGTGGAGGTATGCTTTCACCTTTACCAAAAATAACAGAGCAGCTGTCTACTAGGCAGATGTTTGGGAACCCACTGTAGCCCAGATACTGCTTGAGGTTCTCTTTCCCAGGCATTGCGTTCAATCCTTTTTCATGCTTATCCATGTTTCTCAGATCTGTGTCAGAGGCTCTTTTACTTGGAAATTCTTAAGCCCAAAGAGTGATCTTTATTTCCAGGTCTTCCAACTCCAAATTCCCAGCCCTGCCCCTATATAAGGCCTCATGGCTGTTTGTAATTGTTCTCCAGTGGATTTGACTTACACTCAACAGTTTTGGATTGATCTCTTGAAATGTTTAAAGGATCCTACTTTTTTTTTTTTTTTTTAAACACAATGAATAGTCTATTCAAGTAAATAGTTGTAATTTGTGATTTCCATGAATTGAGTATATTCAACACAAATTGTCATTGATTATCAAAGATTTAGTGTTAAAGCTTAATTTTTGTAATAGATTCAAAATTCTGGATGAAAAAATTGCCTTTCCTTGTATTTTGATGGTGAAAAGGCACTGGCACACAGGGATTCTGAGGCCTTGTGATGAATTTCCACTCAAGATTTCTGATGTACAAAATTCTTAGAGTTAAAGAATTAAGAGTTAGAAAGACAAAAGCCCAGTAGGTTAATGTATTCCAGGAATTCTCACCGGCACGAATTGACACATTTGGAACTTCTATAAATGATATTTTAGAGTGGATTCACTATTGTGCCTTTAATAATGTTAGGGGACACCTTAGACAGGTTTGAATATAGTCATATTCTTTAGAGTCTGGTTTCCTATGTAACAATGTATTGTTAAAAGACTTCCATATAAATAATCTTACTTATAATAAGTCTACTGTCTTATTCTCCTTTTGAGACAAGGTTTGGAGTACAGCTTAGGCTGGCCTGGAACTTAGGATCCCTGCCTCAGCTTCCTGAGTGCTTGGTTTTAGGTGTGTTCCAATCTCTTGGGGCTCTGTCTTACCTGGTTTAACTGCTATCTTTGTGGCCTAGTGATTAGATGCATTTAATGTATTTCTCATCAAGGGATTTTATTGTTTCTTATAATTCTTAAATTAGATTCTCATACATACATCCTACACATAAGTTGTGTATGCACACATGTGCACACGCACACATACCCTTTTGTTTTTTTTGAGATAATTATCATAGAAGCAGAATTTCTGAGTCAAAGCGTGTATATTTACTTTACTTGTTTTGCTGAGTTATTCTTTAGAAAAGCTATTCTTATTTTTGTAGATAATACTAATACATTTTTATATATTTACTGTTGTGTGCAAATGTTGGGACATGGTACATGTGTGTAGAAGTCAGAGGACAACTTTTGGAGCTGATTTTCTTCTTCCATTGTGGGCTCCAGGGATCAAACTCAGGAGGTCAGACTTGCTTAGACAAGTGTTTTTATCTGTTGAGCCTTTATAATTAATACTTGTACACCGAATGCCCTTGTCAGCCTTGAGGGTGAGAGCTTTGCTCATCTGTCCAAAACAGATAAACAAGGACACCATTTATTGTTTCAATTTGCAATTCTCCAGTGAGATGAACTATATTTATGTGTTTGTTAGGGACATTTGTATTCTGTGAATTGCCTGTTTATGTGTCCTTTGCGACTTTTACTACTGGAGTGTTATTATTTTTGTGTGCTTTTTAAAGATCTAATTAATCCCCCAGTTCCCATATAGTGCAAATATTCTGAGTTTTTCCTTTGCTTCTGGTGTCTTGTTATGATATTTAGGAATGACTTTAAGAGACATAGTAAACTTTTATCAATATTCATCTTTCTACAATTAATATAACCCTTAGCATAAATCTGTGTACTGCTAAATGACTGGAGGATTTTGGAGAAGGCAGCATTTGTGGTTACATGAATCCATTTAGCTGATAAATATTTAGAATCTGCAGTGTGCACAGGGTTTGTCATGAAGCAGGTGTTCCTGAGTGAATGAATGAGTGCTTGTGAATGAGTAAGCTCATGCGTGAATGGGTGTGTGAATTAAAGCTGAGCTGGAGCTAGACTCTTTAGAATGAAGAGCAACAACGTGGAAGAAGTGGACTATGATTGTTACTTTAAAGGATGGATAGTCAATTTTATAGATTGAGGAAAAAGGAAAAGCTTGATGGTGGTCAGGTGAAGGCTTTCAAATGCTCAGAATGGATTTATGAGCAGCTGTTGGAATGTTGAAACTCTGGATGATGAAGTTAGGTGATGAAGAGACCATCGAATTTGGAGTTTAGAGCTTGATGGTGCAGGTAATTGAAGACTATAAGTAACTGCAAATGACCATTATAAAGTTCAAATGATTTCACAAATAACTTAGTATACTTAGGTTTTTGATCCAGTTACTAGTAAGTTTTAGTATATGCTACATTGATTTGAACTGCTGCCTTGCTTACCATATAGTATACATTAGTATTAATAGTATTCGTATTAATAGTATGTGCCTCAATCAATATTGTTTTAAGGCTCCAAATAATTAATTTAGACCCTCTGTTAATGAAATTTCTCTACTTAATAATTGCTTAACTAGTACTTGCTCTGTAAAGCTCTGTAGTTTGAACTTTGTTTCTGGATTAATCAGACAGGATAATTAAAAAAAGTCTAGTTGCAAATTAATTTGATAATGGTCTAGTACATTCCATAACTATGCAGAGTGCTGGCCTTCAACTCTATCTGAATCCATTTTGTGTTTTTTTTTTTTTTTGGTTTTTCGAGACAGGGTTTCTCTGTGTAGCTTTGTGCCTTTCCTGGAGCTCACTTGGTAGCCCAGGCTGGCCTCAAACTCACAGAGATCCGCCTGGCTCTGCCTCCCGAGTGCTGGGATTAAAGGCGTGCGCCACCACCGCCCGGCTCATTTTGTGTTTCTTTAAGAGAATATTTGAAGCTCAGTGATTTATAAAAATAATAGATTTTTTATGTGGTTCATAATTCTAGTTGTCACAGGGTCCTAACAGCATAGTCCTATGGTCTGTTACAAGTCCCTGAACCACTAACAAAGCTTTTTTTTTTTGAAGAATCTACTTTTCAGATGTGTAGTCCATGAGGTTGCACAAGACCTCCCCTTTGGGGGTGCCCTTCAGTGTTCATCCCCAAGTTCACATCATATAGAGCATTGTTTATCAACCAGTGGGTCTGGTCCCTTTTGGGGGTCACATATCAGATATCCTGCATATCAGATATTTACATTATGATTCAGAACAGTAGCAAAATTGCAGTTATGAAGTAGCAACGAAATAATTTTGTGGTTGGGGGGTGTCACCACAACCTGAAGAACTGTATTAAGGGATTGCAGCATTAGGAAGGTTGAGAGCCACTGATGTAGATCTTCCAGTGCCATTAGATTGCCAATCTTAGAGATCACGCTTCCTGCACACAAACTTTTGTGGGGCCAAAACACATACACAGCATAGCAAACCATGAGTAAAACGGTCTTTGCTGAAATTTAGAGGCTTTGTGAGTAGACAGTAAATGGCCAGTTAGAACTGCCTAGGCTGGCTGGAGGCAATTATCTGCCAAGGGAGAACAGCAGAGGGCACTGGGCCCAGAGTTGGGGTGGGGCAGAGAAGGGAGGCTTTCTAAAGGATGCTTCTTCAGAACTGACCAAGAAACAGGAGTCAAGGATGGATGGTTAGGAACACGGGCCTCTGAGAAAGGTTCAGAGAGTGAAGGGAATGTTCTAGGTGGTAGGATTGGCATAGGCATAGGCATGTTGGTGAGATGAGTGCACGAATTTGAGTAATTGAGGACGAGTTCCATTGTACAAATAGTCAAACTTTATGGGGATGTTCAATAAGTGTCTTTCTTCAGGGATGCAGCCCTAAGATTTCAGAGCTGTGAGAGGAAAGATTACCTCTGTCTGGAGACAGAAGAGTTCGTGAGATTGTATTTAGCTATGCCCGAAGCGATGAGTAGATTGAAATAAGTTGGGACAGTGGGCAGGAGGATTCTTCATGGCATTAGTGAGGGCTGGGAGAAGGGTGGCTAGCTGAGGCCTTGAATTCCTGATTCACGAACCTTGACTCCGTCATGGAGGCAATGGAAAGGAGACATCAGCAAGATGTTTTGATGGCTTAGAGAAGTACAAGATTTAGACTCCAATTTTGTTACTGTAATTTTTAAAAACAAAGTAATTGTGGGCTAGTACTTCACTCAAACTGCCCTCTCCCTTTACGGCATGAGTAAGGTTGTAATTAAACTATCTTTGCAGGATTGCAATAGGAACATGAGGAAATGCTAATGAAAATACTTTCTAAGCTCTAAAGCAGGGTGTGAATTAAAGGTAAATGGCACTGTGAGATGATTTCTTTTCTTGCAGTTTTTCTTTTTTCATTAGGAAATCAAGTAGTTTCTGTTCTTTTTAAAATTAGGGAGAAATAAAGTATGCATTGGGATGTAAAGAAATAGCATGGTTTTTTTGTTTTTATTGTTTTTCAAAACCCTGACATTATACTTTTATAATTGCTTTTCCCCCTTAAAACTTGTTAGGCTATTATGTGCTACATATAATTTGCTTGTGTGTGTGTGTGTGTGTGTGTGTGTGTGTGTAGCTGAAGTTTTTTTGGTCTTGCTTGGCCCATGGTCAGAACAAATCTCTCTCACCTGCCAGTCCTGCAGCCGCTTGGACCTAAGCAAACACACAGAGACTTATATTACTTAAACTGTTTGGCCTAATGGCTCAGGCTTCTTGCTATCTAGATCTTACATCTGAAATTAACCCATTTTTATTAATCTATAAGGTGCCACGTGGCTTGTGGCT